CCTCACAGACTGGTATCTGTGGCTGAGATGAGTCAACAGCATAACTGAACATGCATGGACCAAAACCTCATTCTAATCTGACTGCAGGAGATAGGGAAGTAATTAGGAAATTCAATAAAAACAAATCAGTGTCACAAAATGTTGACAGTGTAAGGGCATTCCATCATTGGTGCTCTGAGGATGGTCACTCAGCTTTAGGTACTGCTTACAGCTTTAGAAAACCAGGATAATAATGAACACAAGAAAGATTCAACTGACAAATCTTGGCAGCAGCCTGAGAAGTGCACTCTCCTGAACCTCAGCAAAGGAAAAAGAAGTTCTCTAGCTCTGAGGCATATTTTCCTTAATTTCTGTTTCTTACTTCTGTGCAGGAATTCATTTTACTCTCTTCAGAGGGCTGCTCCACCTTATTGCCCCAGGAAGTCTTCAGTGCCCTGTGGCACTCCTGGGGAGATCTTCACGCATACAGCAGAGAATGAGCACCCAAAGGAAAAGGAGGTGGTGAATATAAAAACTAGCATGAAAAGCAGCACACTTTTAAGCAAAATTTTCCAGTTGTCCCAGAGAGAGTGGCAATTCTCTCATCCTCGGTAAACAGAGTGGAGGGAGTGTTGAGACAAAGTCCAAGACCAATTCAAAAGACTAGTCTTGAATCCTAAAGCAGGAGTCTCAAACAAAATGAATAACAAGATAAATATAAATGAATAGGGGGTTGTTTTTCTTTTTCCAGAGGAAAAAAAAACAATAGCATCTCCTAATGAAATACTGATGTTTTTCCTCCCTTTTTATTTACTGTGGTTTCTTGAGATTCTAGGGTATTTTGACTCCAGACAAATCTCCATTTTAGAGGATAAACTATATATCTGGGCTGTAATCAAAACACACCTTTAGACACTCTAGTTTTCTTATGAAGACCAGGCGTACATGAAACAGCAGAGGTGTGTTCCCACTGCAGAGAGCACCCAGTTCTGCTGTAGAGCAAACTGCAGACTTTGAGCTCATTCTTGCAGTGACAGGAACTGCTGAGATGCAGCTGATTCCCTCCGCTTTGGACAAAGACTTCTTTTTTGCTATCCTGCAGCAGGTAGGATTTCCCAGGCAGGCTTCAGAGCAGAGCAGATGTGTTTTGAGGACCAGCTCAATGGCAAGGTATGGCCGCTGTTCTCTCTTCTCTCACTGATGTTCTCGGCCTTGCGCTTGGCATTTTTAGAGTGCACTGCACGTGGGAGGCAGCCTTGGACCCATGCCACCCGCCCCAGACCACACGTTATGCGCCGATGAGAATGGCACATGCAATGCAGCCAGAGTCACACATGAGTGCTCCCGCTCCAGCTACAGCAGTAAATCATCTTGCCGAAACCCCTAGTTCAAAACAAGTGTCAATCCTTGCCACTCTTGTGATTTTAATCGCTTTGGTGAAGTGAGGGGGTTTTCCCTCTGAGACATGCAATTGAAACAAAGCAACAAAAAGCTGGGAAATGCAGTATTAATTGTGTCACAGCCACTGAGAAAAAGCAGAAAAGCGATGAGAGCAGGGTGGTTTCAGCTCCCTTGCCTCTGTCACTGGCTTCGAGCGCGCCGCCACACAGCTAGTCTGACATCCTGGTCACAGGCTCTGTCCAATCCAGGCGAGAGAGATCACAACGTAAGTCATATAAGATTGTCTCACCCTGCTCAAGACACCCTGGGACATTGTATTGATCAGACATCACAGGCAAGATAGCAGAGTAAAGTTAGCAGCTGGTAATGAATTTGTTTCTTCCTACTTGTTACCTATGTCCCAGGGGACCTGAGCCGGCATGAACTACCCTTGAAACTGAATACCGGATGAAATCTCAGCTGCTTTCACACTGAAGGCTGTGATGCATGTCAAGGCTGCAGCGTGCCAGTCTGGTTGCACAAAGAGAATCTGATTACAAAGTGCAATACCAGTTCTTCAAGCAAAGTGAAGAGAGAGAAGCCTATGCACACCTTTCACAAAAAAACCTACATTCACTTGAAAACATAAAGAAAAAAAGGAGTGAATAACACAACCATTAATTCAAGCCTCCAATCTGCAGTTTTCCATTATTAATTACGAAGCTACCTCCCCATTCTGGTTTTGCAGAGGGCAGAGGAGGTTCTTGGCAGGTCCCAGCTAGGCTGTAGCTGGTGACTTGTCCCAGAGCACAGCTCTGATGACTGACAGCTGTCCATCGATTCGGGACAGACATGACACAGAAGGGCAAAGGGACCTCCCCACACTGACTCAGCACTGGAATCAGAGGCACCAGGAGACAATCCACTCTTTAGGCACTCTACTGTGCCTGCCAAGTCTGGCAATGGGTTTTATTATAATATATGGATCACTATTCATTAAAAGCTGGACCGGGACCAAACAGATACAGATGGAAATGCCTTTTTTTTCCTCATGGACTTGTTCCAAACCCAAGCTCTAGGTCCCAATATATATCCTCTTACCAGCAGGTTCCCAAAAAAGAAGAATGGCTTACAACAGTTTTATAAAATCCAGCTGTTTATAAAACTCAGATAATTTGCCCTACCCCCAAATCTGGGGCTAACAACCCAAATAACATATTTATTTTCACTAGTGTCAATGCACAATAGGCAGATATACCCAGGAATACACTGTGTAGCTTGAAAGTGAACTTCTAAACCAATTATCTGCTTTGTTATACAGGCTAAACACAACTATTACACTACAGCATTACCTGATATTGCTATCCCAAAGAAAATTGTCATAGAACAGCAAATAAACAGATGCTCTTTCATATGAAAGTCTTAAATGAAGCAAGAATAAAAGTTAACTACTTATTTGAATGCTGAAGATTTTTTCCAAGGTGTAATAAGCAGCAAAAATACTAGCAGCAACTGGAAGCCAGGAACAAAATTTTAATTTTATTGGTCATTTTTCATTTTTTTATTTTTAGTTTGGACATCTTACCTACCTCTTTGTTAGTCTCATAAGCTAGTGTAGGATTCCTACTCCCTGCAGGATAATAAATATGTTCAAGGCAATAAATATCAAAAAAGAGGAGCAGATGCATGTTTTGTAAGGAAACTCATGCTTAATTGAGGTTTTTCTGTGTCAGTAGAAATCAGGATCAAGAATTTTACACAGCCCACCAAATAATGATCAGATTGAAGAAAGATGGCAAGAATATGATGGATTTGCCGATCCCTGAACAGCCAGACATGACGTTGAAAGGATCATTAAACTCATTTCTCCAGAGAAAGGTGCAAATACTTTAGAAGTACCAGGGTTTCAAGATAATTAATGTGTCTTTTTTTGAGGAAAATCTCAGTACAATATTTAAATGCACAATGACCATACACTGCAGCATGCTTCCCTGGTTCTTCATGCAGGAACTGGAGAGCACCAACCATTACCCAGCTGCGTTCATTTGTGTACTGTGAAAAGGCTTAATGAGCCAAAAAGTGTATTTTGCTCTCTTCATGGATCATGGAAGCAAAAGTCCTGGGGGTAAAACGGCTTGTGTTTTTAATGCTGCTGTGAACTGGGGCCTCAGGGGTACATTTTCAGTGCAATGCATGTGGATTTGGCTGCTTAAGTCCCATTGATGTTGATGGGACTCTATATCTAAAACCCCGTGAAGTACTTGAAAATGTGTCCCTTGGTGTCTGTAAAGCATCCTTGTCTTTTCAAATAAAATTGACTGAACCAGTCTGATGGTGGTGCTCCTTCTCAGCAAGGTCTGCAGTTCTTGTGCAGATTTGTAAGCAAGAGTGCACAGGAATGCATGGAAATTCGTACTTCATCTACCTCTCCACAAATACTTTCGAGAGCTGAATTACTCGTGCTTTTGGGTCATTGTAGTAATAAATGCTATAAGAAATGCTAGGAGATAATACGCTGTCAAGTTCCTTTGTACAAGACAAATTTCTCTGGCTGGTCAGTACAAGTGTCACTCACACTGGGTACAGCATGACTATTGCTCCAGAGGACCACAGAAAGTATGGGCAGAGACACAATAACACTCCTGCCCTCTCCTTCATGGGGGGAAGAAGGGGAGTTTGATAAAATCTGTCCTTTTGCAATGGAATCAGAACAACTGAAATGTCAGTAACCTCCATTTGAGTGATCCATTAAGTAAAACATTTAGGTTTGAAAAATCTTTTTTTTTTTTTTTGTTATTATTTACCTTGACATTTAACCAGGAATTAAAGACCAACTATTTGACTGCATCCCGGTTCTCCATGATATCGTGTAATAATCAGGATATAAGGTAGGTCAATATTATTTTCAGCGCTGGTTGTGTGTTACTCCAAAGGGCTAGCTATCTAAGACTAGAGAGACATGTATGAACTACTTAATGTGGTCCCAGTTATGTGAGCCCATTCCATGTTTTAGATCAATGTAAGGTTCTCATGCAGTGCTAAGACCTTAAAGTGGTTGGAAACACATAAGGTTTAAAAAAATCTCATTAGAGGGGGTAGTGAAGAGAGTAGAGAAAAAAGAGACTATGATACTAGTATTAGTTGTTTGGGGTTTTTTTTTTATTTGCCCATTTATCAAAGTAGTATGCATAGAAATATCTATTATGTGGGCTACACACAGTATCGAAATGCCTGCTTAAAGCTGTAGTGAAACAACTCGCTCAACATGAACACCCTACTATCTGTTATAAGGAGTTGTGTCTGCACTCATTGGAGTAATATAATTAGATATTAAAGCTGGAAGGAACTGCTGTTGGAAAAGCATAGGCAAAGTTTTTTTAAATGGGAAGAAGTGTACCTGAAAGGGAAATGTCTTAGGCTGATTACAAGGCAGGGAGCAGAGGAGGGGATGCCAGTTCCTCGTGACTTTGGAGAAGAAAGAGTTGAGGACAACACAGTGAAGGAGAGGCAGAGGGATCGTAAAACTCATCAGGGTCTCAGTTCAGCTGCACAAACTACACTTGGGATGTCAAAGTTTCCAACACCTCTCCTTCCTCTTTTGCTGCCTTTCTGTTCTAGCCTAGTTGGACTTCCCACATAACACAAGCCACAGAAGAGTAGTCAGGAATTGAAGCCATAATTTCCCTTTGAGCCAGGCTTAGAGCACGTGTGTTAGTCATCCAGGCTGAGCTTAAATATTTGAAGTAAAGGAAGACCACTTCTTTCCTAGACAGAAAAGCATGCTTCAGTTACAGGAGCCACTTATATAACTTCAACTTTTGGTAAGTGATTCTTCATGCTTGTTCTGCTGCATTAAATGGCCTACCTCCACCACGATACCGACAATAATAGCATTATAACACATTACCTCAGACTGATGCAGGACTGATTCTCCACAAAGTTACACCATTTTGGCAAGGCAAAAGGGTCTTTAAAGGGGGGCATGACTATTCTGCCAATTTTAATGGTCTTTTATAAAGGAAAACTAGTACAGTGCAAGTAAGAGCTGAACCTGAATGTATGCAATAATGCTGAAAACTCCTTTTATTTAGAAGTAATTTATTGCAGATTTTTTTATAGTTAGAGATCTGTTTTAATTTGTAAATTACCTTTCCTCTCAGCTTTCTCAAACGCAAAGTGTTAAACTGTGAAAGTTTATCACTGTGTTAATTATAGTTTCCATCTCAGGTTAACAAATAAGCTAGCCCGTTCATAACATATCAAACAGCTGCATTGTAGTCCTTCCCATTTTGTGTCTATACAAACACTGATTTCTGTGGAGCAGCTATGGTCATTTAATTAGCTGAGTATCTGCCCCATAACATAATTTTAGTAAAAGAAAATATTATGTTTACTTAAACCAAATTACTCTGTTTTATACACAGGAGAGCTGGAAATGTTTTAACATATTTAAGAAAAGAAAGAAAATAAATAAAGGGAAGGAAGGAAGGAAGGAAGGAAGGAAGGAAGGAAGGAAGGAAGGAAGGAAGGAAGGAAGGAAGGAAGGAAGGAAGGAAGGAAGGAAGGAAGGAAGGAAGGAAGGAAGGAAGGAAGGAAGGAAGGAAGGAAGGAAGGAAGGAAGGAAGGAAGGAAGGAAGGAAGGAAGGAAGGAAGGAAGGAAGGAAGGAAGGAAGGAAGGAAGGAAGGAAGGAAGGAAGGAAGGAAGGAAGGAAGGAAGGAAGGAAGGAAGGAAGGAAGGAAGGAAGGAAGGAAGGAAGGAAGGAAGGAAGGAAGGAAGGAAGGAAGGAAGGAAGGAAGGAAGGAAGGAAGGAAGGAAGGAAGGAAGGAAGGAAGGAAGGAAGGAAGGAAGGAAGGAAGGAAGGAAGGAAGGAAGGAAGGAAGGAAGGAAGGAAGGAAGGAAGGAAGGAAGGAAGGAAGGAAGGAAGGAAGGAAGGAAGGAAGGAAGGAAGGAAGGAAGGAAGGAAGGAAGGAAGGAAGGAAGGAAGGAAGGAAGGAAGGAAGGAAGGAAGGAAGGAAGGAAGGAAGGAAGGAAGGAAGGAAGGAAGGA